ATCTTGTCCACAAAGAAGCTGCTCAACTTATTCATAACGAAGTTCAGTTGGAACTTGGATACTGACTGGAGCCTCTAAAAACTGTCCAAGAACTTGAAAAAACTCCTTGAATTTCTCCACAGATGGGATCAAGGGTATGACTTGATGTCTCTTCTGATGGTATCACACAAGATTTTAGGATAATGTCTCAATTGTTTATCAGATTTGCCTCTGAACTTTGCCTCTAAAGCTTCCTGTTCTTAGGTGTCACCATTAATTGCTCCTTACATAGCTTGATAGCTTAAGGTTCTATTACTAACCCAGGAGACTTTAGTATTCTGCTCTTCAATCAGGTCACTGATTTGATAGCCAAGTTTGAGAAACCATATCCTAGAACACATTTGACTCCAGCATGACTCATCAGCCTTTAGAGGTGATAAATTTAATTTGGTCCCGACCTCTGCAGATGGGAACATGTTACAACAGCACAATTCTCCCTAGATGATAGGTAGCAAAGGTGTCATTTCAAGACAAACACCAGATCAAGGGAATGGCTTGCCTTGTAAATAAATTCTATAAAGCCCATAAAGGTATTACAAATTTTATTATTTTTATTAATTACCATAATTAAACATATATGTCACCCATCTCACCAAAGGCAACTCTAGGTGACTTACAGTCATTCAATAAATGACAGTCATTCAATAAAAATGCCATATAAAACATTAAAATATTAAATAGAAGTATTAACTTTAAAATTTAGTTAAAATTAAATTGACCAAGATGGAGAGGAAGGGAGCAAAGTGCGCAGGGAGAATGTGGGGTATTATCCATTAGCCACCTCCAGAATGCCACACCCCCATTGGACCACCAGACCAGTTGGCTAAGCGATGTCTTCAGGCTCTTTTGAAAGGCTAAAAGAGCTTGACATGGGTGCAGGGTGGCATGATGTTCCAGAGGGAGGGAGCCATGGCAGAAAAGGCTTTTCTGTTACCTTAGGATAACCATTTATTCCTCCTACCAGTTACATTCCAGGAAGAATAAAAGGGCTCCTTGTTCTTATCAAAGGTTTAGCCCATTGTCTTCAAGGCCAGATGGTGCCTGTCTCCAATGGAATGCAGCGTCTTTTGGCCAGGCTACAGATTGAACTTGTACACTGCCTAGGTCTCCCAGTTCTGGACTGCAAATCTCTGGACAACCACTAGATAGGAGCAGAGAGTTAAAAGTTTTCTATACCTCTTTGGAGTTATTTAGAAGTATTCCAGATTTTTATAGCCCAGATCTGGTCATCCTAAAACTGCCAGTGGCAGCGATGTAACATCTTCTCTTTCTGTATTTAAGGTAACTATCCAACAGGTGCAAAGCATATGTATTCTGCCAGGTAAAGGCATATATTAACACTATATAACTATATAATAATGGCCACCCAGTGCCATTTTACAGGGGAGATGAACAGCAAAATAATTTTAAAAATAAATATAAATAAATAAAAATAAACAAGATCAGAAAGTTCAAAATGTCATCCTGAAGTTGGATACACATTATGGATTTCCCTGCACATTGAGAACTGTTGGGCACAACATTACACTATATATATATATATATACATATACATATACATATACATATACATATTAGTATTTTACTAGTTTGATCAAAACATAAAAGTACAAAAAAAAAATATCGGACTTTTTCTTTGAAGACGTTTTGCTTCTTCAAGCAAACCATCTTCAAAGAAACCAAGAAAGTCCAGTTGCCTCTTGAAAAAACACCTTTGGAACAACTGTGACCTGGATGACTGAGAATCTCCATAGATACAAAGAAAAATGAAAATAATGGGAAAAATTAGGTAGGAAAAGTAAGAGAGAAAAGTGTAAGGTAAAGGAGAAAAGAAAAAGAAAAGCATTGACTTCCAACTCCTTTTGGTGCAGTAGAATAAGGTGGTAACATTAAACCAGGACTAACATTACACCGTATAATTGGAAGAAATGTGGAGGCTAAGATGATACTTTGATAATCATTTCAATTTTAAAAAAATAAGCAGAGAAAAGTGAAAAGGCACTAGCACCTATGTACAGTCAACCAATAGTCGGAGAACAACCAGGGTAAATCTCTAGCGTCACAGCTGCTAGACATTGTTTTAAATCCTTACTTGATTCATTTCTGCAGAATGAATTTCCTGTTTAGGATTTCAGCTGGTGGAGACAACATTTTGGGAACAGATGTTACATCTATAAATTTGAAAGCATATTGCACTTGCAGGGACTGTTCCAGAGTGGCTGCAATGATGGCTATGTCACAAAACTTCCATTTATGATGTCAAAGAGATGATATATTCTTTCTTTCAACTTCTATCTTGCTCAGGATGATCCTTGATTAATGCAATCTATTCAGCTAACCTTTACTGTATAATAATGTCAATTTTTATGCATTTGTTAAACATAAACGTCACCTTTTCTTTAGGAGCTTATGGTAGGATATCTAGCCATTGTCTCCTCCAAATTTTCTCCACCACTTCCTTGTCAGCAGGGGCATCCATGACACAAAATAATAAAAAGTCAAGAAGGTGGACATGACAATGCAATCAAAATGCTGCCCTTTTTTGACCTGTGTTACCCTCGTGAAGACCCTTAACTGCCGGGTAGAATGAACTGAGTGACTAGCCTATAGACACCCTGTGAACTTTGATGGATGAAAATACTTAAAGCTGTCCAAGTCTAGTACCATCACTTCTACACTTTATTAGCTCTCTGTAATGGAATTTAGTGAGATGGATCCACAGGAGGAAGGGGGTGCATTTCAGAGAAATAAAAGGCACTTAGCCCATATATTATATGAAAGACAGCTCTCCTCTAATCGTTCACAGTATATATTGCAGACGCATTCATATAGTAGGTTCCCCACCCTGGCAAGGTTTTGTCTATAGGTGTGAAACAATAAAAACTCAGGAAGAATTGCTATGTTTCATTCTTGGTTTTGGGCCTGACATTCTCCAAGAGTCCGGATTATTTTCTTAAAACTGATGCTAAAGGCTAACTGTCTGCTAGGCAGCATGCTACTTTTTCCATTTGTATCTTCTTTTTTACTCAAGTCAGTTGGGGCAGGGTGGTCTGCCTATCTACGGAACATTATTTCAGCTTTAGTGCTAATATAATTGACAGAATAAAACAATAATTTATTAGGTTTACATGATGTGCTAAACTACAAGGCTCAGTTCATCACCACAACAGTTGAGATGACACGACACATTTCAGATATGATGTTTAATTTTGGTTTAAATGTGTTGTGTATAAACAATTTGTGGCCTGAGAATAGTGCTAAGAAGGATTGGATTCAAATGATATCCACTAAGAATATAAATTTAAATAAATTATATGTTTAGATTTAAATCCTAACAACCTGATTGAAAATAAATTCCATCCAAAAATGACTTTTGTTTTTGAGTAAACTGAAGCAATCTTGTGAAGTAAACTTGTGATGGAACAAGTACACACAGCAGGAGCTACTTGTGATTAAAATGTGCTTAAAATTGAATCATATAACAGTGAAATGTATGCAAAATTATTACTATCTTCCAAGGAGGCAGATGCTCAAGTATATATAATTCTACAGGCTGATGGAGCTGAAAAATGCATGATAATTCTGCTTGCAACCTGTTAATAAATCATGAACAACTTAAAAGTTACCCATTTGGGTGAAGTATTTTTTCCTGATTTTTTTCCCCACAATTCTTTAATTCAGATTAAATACATTCAATAGCCAAAAGAAAATGCAGATCATTTTAGCTGCAATTAATAAAACCAGAACACATACAATTATAATTATCATCCACCATAAATTTTCATTTAAAAATGATAGACTGAAAGTTTTAGGAGAAAAGGAGTTAATGACAGGAATTCTTGGTTATTTTTGAAACCTTTTTGGTCACTCCCTGTTGAGTGATAATGTATGTTTTTTGGAGATCTGATGCTCTTTTCAAACTATTAGTGGGATACAATAGCACGGAGAGACTTACAGCAACCACATAGTATAGTTCTTTCTCCTGTCAAGCCCAGTATTGCTACAATTGTTGTATTTTTATTTCATCCCCTTGTAACGTCCCCATACTGCAAGACAAAACAGTCATCGGCTACCAGGATCTTATTATCATATGTGGTGGACATGTCCAGAAGCAAAAAATTATTGGAATAAAATTAAAACATGGTTGGAAGAGATGATAGTTACGTATTGAATTTAAACCAGAGCTGTTCCTATTGGGTATTCTTCCATAAAAGACTAGTAAGGAACATACTTATTTGATTATACATGTAATAACAGCTGCAAGAATTGTTTATGCTCAAAATTGGAAAGCAGAGAAAATACCTTTGGGAAGATGAGGTGATTAAAAAAAATTATGGACTGTGCAGAAATGAATAGATTGACTTTAAGGATTAAAGATAGGGAAGAGATAAGACTATTATAGAATATGGAACTGTTTCTATTATTGGTTGGAAAAGAGATATAAAAGATAAAAGCTTTATATTTAAAAATTTGATAGGCAGAATTTTGTTTTAGTAAGGAGATATTAAAATGGTTTGTATAAAGATCAAGACAGAAGAAAGTTCCTTTTTTGGAAGAAGGACCGAAGATAACACCGAGATGTCACAGGGAGGGGGCGACAGATGTACTAAATGTTTGTTTTTACAAAAAATAATAAAAAGTTATACACACACACACACACACACACACACACACACACACACACACACAAAGAACTCATCGCTATTTCTTCCACGAAAGGAGAAGGACTAATGGGGAGCAACTGTTAGGGCAGCTCCGACGCAAAAATCGTGGTGTGTGTGTGTAAGTCAGGTACAGAAAAAGCGTTCGCTTCTTCCTCCCTCGCCGCGATCTTCCGCCCGTCCGGCCGCCGGAAGTTCTAAGACTCAGAGTCAAGCATTCTTCTGCACATTAGCGCTTTAAGACAGACACACACGCGCACACACACTGTTTGCTGTACCTACGGCCACCGCCTTTATTGACGTTCCTTCCGGGCCCTTCCTAGACTCGAGGCCGGCCTCTTTCGTTTTCCCGATCCGCTTTCTCTTTCTAAGATGTCACTTCCGGTAAACAAGAAAACAACATACCAGGAAGGAAGAAACCCTTAGGAATCTGGAGTTCGAAGTAGAGGTGGGACTTTTCCTTTTATCCCTCTTTGGACGGGGGCTGCGCTTTGCAGGAGGGGTTGCGTTTGGCAAGGGGGCCCAGCAATTAGGCCCTTCTACGCCAGCTTGGTCTGAGAGCCATACGGGCTCCCTCATGCGGCCCGGGGCACTAGGCGTTTGGAGAACCTTTCGCTCCCCAGATGCATTAGATTATGATTTCCATCATCTTAACCCCCAAACTCAGATCATGCTGGGAATTGTAGTCAAACAATTGAGTGCTAGAATGGGAGAGTGCGCCAGTACGGTAGACTCCCAAAAAACACCAGCCGGCATGAAATCTGCACATCTTAAAAGTTGCCAAAGTTGAAAAAAAAGTTCCTAGAATGGAGGTAATTACCCAAGGGGGTAACTTGGGCATATCCTGGGGATGTTAGAGCAATTTGTAACTGCTTGCTTGTGAATCAAGGATCTAGTTTGGAACCGTCACTGCTGGGGCATTTCTGTAAAGTAACAGAGCCTGTTTTTTAAAAAGGGAAATAATGTTTTTGGAGGTATGAAAAAAGGGTAATTGGGACAAACAGTTTAAAAGTCACTGGTCTAGAGAGCAAGTCTTTTTAAACAGCTGTTAGCCAAAGGTTTTGGGAAACTTGCAAGTGGGAGGAGGGAATAGCTGCTGATTTTATTTTATGGTACTTGTGTACTATCATGTCTAGTAGTGAATGATAGGTCTATTTCTTTCTCTTCCCCACTGAGCTCATTGCATTTATTGCATTTTTATGCATTCCCTTTCTAAAGAGCTTAGGGTAGGTTACTAAACCCCATTCCTTTTATCCTTCAATCTTCATAACAGGTTTCACACATCACAATGAATCATATGATTTAACCTGTTAGCTCTTGCCTGGAAGTAAACAAATAGTAGTTCCGGACCTGCTGTTAGATCCCTGGGAATTTGAAGTAGTTTAGCAATATTTTGAGGCTTAATTTTTTGAAAGAAAAAGCAGAATCTGTACTATTCCACCCCCACCCCCCACCATTCATATATAAATTATTCTGTTGAAATGGGGGGAGGGGATATTTAAAATGAACTATGAACTGGGAATCAAAACAAATTCCTTGCATAGTGTTCTTTAATTATATATCCTTTTCACTAGATTCAGTTTAATGGATCTTGAGACCAGTGAAAAAAGCCTCTCTACCTCGGCATAGACCAGGCATACTGTAAATGAGAAAGAAAGTGAAATCTCGTTATTTATTCATTTTCATAAACTAAAACAAAGGGATATCCCCTCTATGTGGTTATTGTCATGTGTGTACTTTGATGAAGGTGCTTATGGTATGCTTCCTCTGTTCCCAGGATCTGGCTGGATGAGTATAGCCCAAGGGGATTGGAGCTGCAACATGGTGCAGCCAAGTGGATGCCCTGCTGGTGACTATGGCATGATGGGAGATGACTCCTCCCTGGGCAAACCTGGTACCCTTCAGTTGCCAGCTGAGCTGGCAGGACATGAAGTTGTACAATATTTCCTGGCTGAGAACAGAGACCTTAAAGGTGAGGACATGTTGGAGTGACCACCATTATCATGTTTAAATTATATCAAGGTTGATAAATTTTAATACAAGGGCCAAATTATTTAATATGTTTTAAACTGTTTTTTAAATTTTGTGGAGATATGTTGTTTTATTGTGGCTGTACACCGCCCTGAGTCCTTCAGGAGAAGGGCGGTATAAAATTTAATTAATTAATTAATTAATTAAAAAATTCATTCAATATTCTCTTAGTCCTGTCATTCAGTTTATATTAAGTCTCTGTCTCTTATAATAGACATTTCCATAAATGAATCAGGCAATATTTTAAGTATCAGATAAGGTAGATAACTAGAATGGTTTAGAATCTCTGGCCTTCCTTTATGAATTATAATTCTCTGCAGCTCCAGCCATCATGATTAATCATGAGGAATGGGGCGGGGGGGTGTATAGTTCTGTAACTTCTAGAAGTCTTGAGATATCCAACCACTGATTAGATTCTGATTTTTCTGTTTTTACTTTTGCCTATATTTAGTGAGTTGTTGTATTTAGAAAGAAAACCAAATAACTGGATACTTAGCTAAGATTGGGTTTCAAATATTCTAGTTTTCCTTTTTTTTCACATCAGAAGCTCCAAAAGCTTCATTTGCCACCTCTCTGAATTTATATTGGACAGCTTTGTAAATTATGTAGTTACTTTCTATTGATGGCTGGAAAGCTTCTTGCTCCTTTGCTTGTTTCCTTTCTATACTCCGTATGTAAGAGTAGATTCCACTGTTTTTTTTAAATCAGAGACAGAATAAATTCAGAGCAATCATCCCTTTCCTGCCAGCACTTTAAGTTTTGAATAGACTTTCTTTTGGTCTGGGCTATTGGCAAGAGCTAGTAACAAGGCCAGTCATTGTATATAATCTGCAAAAGAGAAGTGCTACTTAATTACATAACTCCAGATGGAAATGAATGGCTGAATTACAGGGACAAATCAGAGAAAAATGGTTCTCTTGCAACTAAATTTACTGATGGAAATTGTTAGTGGAGAAAGAGTCTGACCAGTAACAGCCTAAAAGCAATAGCTTGTAGGTATAATAAAAAAAAGTCACTGTAATAATAATTGAATATTTAGGGACTTCTGGTTTGGCGTCGTGGTGAGACAGCCGGGGAATAGCGGGCTCTGAGGAGCCCAGCGAAAACCCCGACTGCCGAACCGCCACTGATGGATCTTTCTACCCCGTTCCTGCAGGGACGGGGTAGAAAGAGAGGCGCCTCGGACGTCCAAGAGGAACAGGCAAGTTCCTCGGGGGTCAGAGGGAACTCTCTGTAAGTCGGCGGTGGGGGGCAGCTGCCATGGCGGCTGCCATGAAGCTGGGACAAACCGGGCTAAGTGATGTTCAGGAGGAAAGCGGAAAGGAACAATGCTCTTTGAAGCCGGGTAAGTGACAACCAACCCAGGCTCGAAACAAAGTTTGGAGCAATGTTTTTTTTTACTTGCAAGACCTCTAGTCTTAAAACAGCGGCTGTGGAACTATGGGGCATAGAAGCTTTTAGGATGCAATTTTTAAAAGAAAAGAAAAAGACCCGACAGAAAATAGATGTTTGAATAGAACAAATCCGAAAAACAAACATTGAGACTTGGCTCAAAAATTGTGCAAAGTTTTAAATTTGAATTGGACTGTTAAAGGAAAAAAGAATTATTATTTTTAAAACACAGAAGAAGGAGAGAATCAAGCAGGAACGTTAAATAATTGAAATAAAATGGCTACTTGCATGACTGATGGAAATTGTGGATTGTAGAGAGACACCTTCTGGTTCAAAAAGAAACATTGTAATTTGCTCTTTGTTTGGGAACATTGTGAATATTACAGATAACAACTGTGGGACCTTGGCGGTGGAGGTATTTTTTCTTTGTCTGCAGGCCGCTTGACTTTGGTGAAAAGAAAGGGAAAATATATTGGAACTCCTATAATTGGTATTAATTGGCGCAGGAACAAAAGATGTTGAATGGCGCAGGAACAAAAGAAAATTGATGTAATTTGCTTGAAATAGAAGTAAGAAAAAGAACTAAATTGATATATGGAGAATTAAAATTGGGAACTTTGAAACTGAAATGAAATATATGCTAACAGACAAGGAAACGAGGAACAAGATACACACAGCTGGGAAAAAAGAAGAAAATAATGTGATTAAAAATGAAAAAGCAATGTATAGATGGAAAGTAATAATAAAAAGGAGGTTTCTATAGATGAATAAATGAATATGAATACAAAAAGAATTTGTTATAGATATATTTAAAAAAATTGAAAAAAGAGGGAAGTTAGAATATACGCTATACTACAAGATACCAGGGACAGAGAAGGAGTAGCATTTCTGGATTGGGAGACTTATTACCAAGCAGCATGCCTAACATGGTTAAAGGAATGGATGAAGCTGGGAAATAAAAGAATTTTAACAATAGAAGGACACGATTTACAGACAGGATGGCATGCATTTCTATGGGGTGAAAAGTATAAAACCCATGGAGGCATATAATTAGAAATTCACTATTATTAATTTGGCATAAAATCAAAAAGCAACACTATATAAGAATACCGTTTTGGATCTCTCCCAATGAAACATTAACGCACCCAAATTTAGTAAACTGGACTGAAATAATTAGATACAGGGATATATTAAATGATTTGGGAAAATTAAAAACAAAACAAGAATTGGAACAGGATTTGAATAGGGAAGTTGAATGGTGGACGTACTTACAAATAAGATCAAAATACTTAGAAGATACAAAAATAGATTAGGTACAATTGGAGCAAAATGAACTGGATAAAATTATATATGGGAGGAAATTAATTAGTAAAATTTATAAATTTTTATTACAGTATAAAATGGAAGAGGAAATAGTGAAAGATACTATGATTAAATGAGCAAGGAATTTCAATCATGTAATAGAATTAGAGAAGTGGGAAAAGATGTGGAGAACAAATATGAAATTGACAATATCAATGGCATACAAGGAAAACCAGATGAAAATGTTTCATAGATGGCACTTTCCACCAGCTAGAATAGCAAAAATGTTTCCTAGTAATTCACCGAAAGGTTAGAAATGTAAGAATAACTATGGAACTTATTATCATCTCTGGTGGACCTGCCCAGTGGCGAAGAAATTCTGGGCGAAAGTTAAAAAGTGGATAGAGGAAATAATTCAGAATTCAATAAAGGGAGAACCTGAGCAGTTTCTACTAGGGATTTCCATAGAAAACTATACTAAGGAAATATATTATTTAATATTACATATATTGACAGCAGCCCGCATAGTCTATGCGCAAAATTGGAAGAAGGAAAACTTACCATCAGAAGAAGATTTAATTAGGAAAATCTTAGAGTGTGCAGAGATGGACTAATTAACAAAAGAAATCAAGGAGAAAGAGGATACAGAATATTACAAAGGGTGGTGTAGATGGTATGAATGGTTGGAGAATAGGAAAAATGAGAAAGAGGAATAAATGAGAGAGGGGAGAACACATGTTGAAGATCAAAGTACAATCTAGACGAAAGAATGATGGAAAATAAATTGTTGAATAAGTTAAAGTTAAAATGTGTGTGAATAGATGTAAATAGTAAGAAAGGATCACTTCAAAGTAGCTGTAGGGAAAAGTGATATGTATATAAATGTTGTGTGTTTGTGTCTTGTTTTTAATGTTTTCAAAATAAAAAACTCTTAAAACTAGAATATAAGAGGAACAGAATATGTTAACAGAAATTTATTAACTCATATAAGGATGTGTTTGGTGTAAGAACTAAGTCTCAATGTCAAATTGTTACAAAGATGATAATGATAATGCGACTAAATATGAATAAATAATATATAGATGGATGGTAAAAAAGTGATTATGCTGGGACAAGCAATAAACTAAGGTGTTGATGCTGGGATTGACAGCAAAAGTAAAGATGATTATACTGGGATTGATAGTAAAATAAGGTGATTATACTGGGTATAACAGTAAAATTAAAGGAATTTATGCTGAGATTAAAAATGATTATACTGGTTTAACAGTAAAATTTAGATGATTATGCTGGGATTGACAGCAAAAACAAAAATGATTATACTGGGTTTAACAGTAAAATTCAGATGATTATGCTGGGATTGACAGCAAAAAACAAAAATGATTATACTGGGTTCAACAGTAAAATTCAAATGATTATGTTGGGATTGACAGCAAAAACAAAAATGATTATACTGGATTTGATAGTAAAATTTAGATGATTATGCTGGGATTGACAGCAAAAACAAAAATGATTATACTGGATTTAACAGTAAAAATAAGGATGATTTTGCTGGGAATAACAGTAAAAATAAATGATTATGCTGGGTTTAACAGTAAAAATAAAAATCAGTTGGGATTAAAAATAAAAGATGAGGATTAAGATGAAGATGTGCTGTTATAAACAATTAAAGATGATTATGTTGTGATTACTAGTAAAATTAGGATGATTACGTTGAAATAAACAGTAATGAAGATGATTTGCTGTGAGTGATAGTAAAGATATTGCTTATGATAATAGTATGATTTATATTTTTAAGATACATTCATCTAAACAAAAAGAAAAGATAATGAAATGATATTGTGTTAGGATTTAAATATTCAAGCAACGGGTTTTTGGATAATGGTATGATAAAATAGATAGAATTTAGGGAAACAATTGTGTAAAACATTAAGTTGTGTTATTAGGAAATTAAGATTTGAGGTGAAATAATAGAAAGGTAATTGTTTTGAGCAAGTTATTGTGAGCTGGTTTTCTGTTTTATTTTTTTATTATTTTTATAAGATGATGATTAGGGGAGATGAGTTGTTGTTAAAGATGAATTTGTGATTGTACCAATTTTATGACCGGATCAATGCTTCGTTCTAAAAAAGATGTATTTTATGTTTATATTTTTTAAAAATAAAAACTTTTTACAAAAAATAAATAAATAATTGAATATTTAGTAACATGAATTAATCTGAAAGGAAAGAGAAATAGGACTGATAAAGAGAGTAGCATCGTGAATGGATGAGTTATCTTTGATGAAATTCTAATCTGTCAAACTTTCTGATTTTGATAGCCTAATACTAGATATTGTTATATATGTGTCTTTTTCCTAGCTTTTTGGAATTTGGTTTCTGAGATGTGAGATCAAATGACTAAAACTGAGAATTTGATTCTTATTACAGAAGAATGTATTCATCCTGCATAGTAAAGAGGGATTTGGATGAGATGGTGGATTTATTGTTTAGTCAATCATTGTCCTCTAATATAAAGAACATAAAGAAGGTAGGACACTGATCCAGTAAACATCTTTTTTTTGTGTTCTGTGTGTAGAAGCCATCCGACAGAGTAATCACATGCTACGAGAGCGGTACCAGGAATTTGTGCAGTTCCATGCTTCCAAAAAGGAGGAGAAAGAATTCATTATGAGCAAGTTTCAGGAGGCTCGGCTTGTGGTGGAAAAATTGCACCTGGAACGCATGGAGTTGGAAAAACAGTTGCAGCAGGCTTTTCAGGATCTGGAGCGATTGAAGGTGCAACTGGGTGCTGTTGGGAACACAGAAGGGTTAAGAGTTTGGGGTCTTCCTCTAGTTCCCCTTTCCTTTTTTCCAGTTTAAGTATCTTGCTAAAGAATAGGCATCCTTACAATGTGTGGTGTATGTTGGCATCTGAAAAAACATTGAAGCAATTTCAAAACTATCACATACATCAAGATTTTTTTTGTTTCTCTTCACAGACAGCTTCTCAACCATTTCTCTCAGAAAAAGACCTCTCTGGCATACAAGAGGAGTCAGACACTGTGACTCTTACTGAGGAAGATGTACTTACTGTGGTACGTGTGCATGATCTACTAGTTCTCTAATTCAGTGCCCTCCAGATACGTTGATGTACAAATTCCAACAGCTTTAACTAGGGTAGCAAATCTTGATTGAAGATGATTGGATTGGAAATGTAGTTTAGCACTTTTGGAAAATTTCACATAAGCAAACACTGACCTAGATGAGCAACTAGAATTTGTAATTGATGCAAAGAAATAACATAGAAAATAGAGATTTGCAGTATTTCTGCATTTGTCTCATCCTGTAGATAGATTTAAGGCTGTATCATTTCACCTGCTGTGGATGGCTTATACAATTTCTCATCACAAAGAAGTTCCTTCTTCCCATTGTTTGTATTTCAGACATCGGGGCTACTAAAACAGAAAAAGGAAAGGCTGGAAGAGGACTGGAAGGCATTGCAAGATGCCAACCAGGTCTTACAGAAGGAAAAACTTGCCTTGGAGGCTAAGATCACCATACTGCAACAAACAGCCAAGGTCACTGTCCCAGTAGAGGAGTTCAAAATAAAGATTGAAGTGAGATTTGGCAGCAGCAGCAGCAACAGACGCTGGATGTATAATGGGACATGGGAGGACATGGGGAAAAAAAGATTGCATGAAGTTCAGGATAGTGGCGTAAAGAGATGAGGAAAGGCAACTGGAGCTGGTAAGGCTGATCTCAAATGTACCCTTCTTTTATCTTCCTAGGAGAATAGTTGTTTATTGGAGCAGTCCCTGGAAGTAGAGTCCCTGCAGAGCTCAGGGGACAAGTAAGTATCTTGAGACCTTTTCAGACTAGCCTGGATACTCATTCTAAAGTACTTACTTATTTGTCTTATCAGTATTATTGATTATGAAGGCTTGCGCCCTATTATGGAGTGCTTTACAATGAATTATTTTTAAAACTGCCCCAAACAGTAAATTTATAACAATAAATGTACAAATATATCTGCAAAAAAAAAAAAAAAAAAAGACAGCTAAAGTTAAAAATGGTGGACAAAAATAATGATGGTGAAAATACATTACAGTGATAACCTCCTCTTGGAGATGTTCCAAAACAGGTCTGAAAAAGACCTTTCTCTCAGTAACGCTCATATTTCATAGGAATGTGCAGAAATGTACCTGATAATAATAATTAGAAGTTCAGAATTTAGGTTGCTGTGCATCCTCCATCCATACAGTCCCTAGCATTGCAGTTTTTAATGTACACAATACCCTGCAATATCCACACATTTAAATATTATGTGGAATGGCCAGTGGAGATGCAATCCTCCTCCTCCTCCTCCCCCTCCTCCTCCTTATTCTAATTCCAATTCTTCTCTTTCTTCTCTTCTTATCATCATCATCGTTCTCTGTCCTCCTTCACAGTGCTGGTGGGAAACAAATTGAGCAGCTGCAAAAAAGGCTGAAGGAGGCTGAAGATGAGTAAGTAGATAATGATGCATTGGTATTTTATAAGAAATAGCCATTTAAACATGCATGCTGTTAGGACAGATCAAGGGCTAAAATTTTCAGATGTTGCAAATGGATGGTTGAGGAAAGAGCAAATAGAAGTAACCCTCTCCAGAATGGCTAACACAACTGAAGGAAATGCAGTGTTTTTATGAGAAAGGAAGATAAGGCTAGCCAAATGCCTATTGATACTCAGTTGAGAATCACAAACACTTCTTAGAAATGCTCTCCTCAAACATTACCAGGACAAGGTAATTACTCCAGTGTTACTCTTTCATTATAGGCAGTTTGTAAGCCAGTAGAAGCAGGATTTTGGATATGTAAAATCACCTACTGGCAAACTGATATTCTTCCCTGAAAGTTTAGTCCCACTGGTTCTATTAGCTAGCATTTACTCTACTTAGAAGAAGAGGTTAGAGGCAAAAATGACAAAATATTTGCCTGTGTGTTACAGCCCTGACATTGGGAGTGGGAGAGAGGCAATTACTAAAGCAGTTATCAAACAGCAAATAATCGATATTAATTTGCAAAGAAGCAAGTAAGCCTTTTGCCCTATCTAAATATCTACATACTCTTACTACTGCAAAATAGGCTGCCTTCAGCCTTACTGGAAGGAGGCTATAAACATGTCCCCATTAGAATAAGGCTTTGTCTCAGTCATACAGGAACAACTGAAACTATATGCCAGTTTTATGATGAAATTTTTCACCTATATTTAATTCCACTTCAAAGTAATTTCCTGAGCATGCTAGAGAAATTCTGAGTTTCATTTCTTCTTTCAGGCAGTGGCATCGTTTTTAAAGTTTCCAAATTGTGTTTCATAGCGCTTATCATTAGGAAATGATAGTGAAACAAGACAAATTTTTATTCAAGTAGAAACAAAGCATGAAATTTGGCAGCTCTGTCTAAATTTTATATCATTTTGTGCTGTTTTATAACAAATATGTTCTTTAATAGTCTAGCAAAGTAGCTTTATAATGAAGTATTTAACTTTTTAGACTTTAATACAGTACTGTTTTTTTTTTCCTGTTCCATTTTATTTTATTCCTAAATTTGGCATTTTTACTTATTTCTACTCCAACTTTGTAAAGCCTGTTATTTGGAAACTGGCGAAGTTCATTGGTTCAATCTGTGATCCTCCTTGTTTTGTTCCACCCCCAGAAGCTTAGCCCTTCGGCAACAGCTGGCATCCAGTTTGGAGGAGCTAGCCTGCTGGACTGCCCGGGAGCAGGAGATCCAGCAGCAGCTACAAACCTTGAGCAAACAACTAGAGGTGAATGTGTTCCCAGACTCTCTTTTGCAAGCTGGGTAGGAGGAGTAAAACAGGAGGCTCCTCTCTATCCCACTGTAAGTGTATTGACCCTGGGCCCTCTTCTCATTACAGCAAGCTGGGGAGGATAAGACTTTAGCAAAGGCCCAGGTGACATCTCTGCTGGGGGAGCTGCTGGAGAGCCAAAGCCGCCTCGAAACTTGTACAGACCAAAACAAAGAGCTGGAGGAGAGGTGAGAGGCATACAGGAGCTTGCATATGATGTTGTGGGCAGACAGCTGGGAAAGGCCCCTTTCTCTGCAGTGATGCAGACATTATGGAACAATGAGCTGAGGCTGCTCTGTGGGACAGGGAGGGTGACTCCCTGCTTTTCCTCTCTAAGTAGACCTGGCTTCAAACTAGCACAGCTTGTGGGATAACCCTCCTGCCCTAAATCTGCTTACAGTAACTTTCTGTACCAATTGTGAAAAAGATTGGCCTTTTGTTGATTTTGGAAGAACCACCTCTCACTTTGAAAAGCAGAAGAGACCACCATTTCTTCCTGGCCAGAAGGGCAAGGCACCTCTTTCTTTCCAGTTTTCCAGTCACTGAACAAGATTTTTTTTTTTAAATTCAGCTGTGAACTGGGTATTGCTGTGAGTTTCTAGGTGATCTATCAGATCACAGCAAAAATAATGACAAAAAGCAGTGAAGAGCTGGAGATGTTTCTTCGTTGTTTTCACTCTATTCACTTGCACTGCTGAAGAGGTAAGCAGGTTGCTTCTTCAGAGATGCAAGCTGCTGGGATGGAAAGCTCAGAGGCACCCCCAGTTGCATGCACATCCTCCAAAGTGACACACTTCCCATGGGAAGCCACAGAAGAGGATGATGGCCCTGAACATGAAGGTGAAGACTCAGGAAGCTGTGTGGAAAATTTACTGAATCAAACAATGCTGGATCTAGTATTGTCATGGTGTGTACTTGCTGGGGTAGACGTCTGATAGGAATTCTGCCTACATTGGAATTTTGGCAAATTAGGCAGTGTTAGATGACGTGTGTGTGTGCCATCTCTACAGGGTTCGTGGGGCTGGTGAACGACTGCAGCAGCTTGAAAAAGAGGCTGAAATCCGCAACAAACAGCACGGTGTACAGGTGGATCAGTTGAGGTTGCAGGTGCAAAACCTTGAGAGTGCTTTGCGAGTGGAACGACAGAGTGCCACAGAGGAAAAGTGAGTGTGAAAGTGATCTGGGCAGAGCCAAAGGAAGTGAGGGCATTTCTGACAGAAGTAGTCTGATCAACCTGAGTCCTTTGGCAATGATTTGTATAATCTCCTTCATTTTAGGAGAAAACTAGCTCAAGTGCAGGTGGCCTATCACCAGCTCTTCCAGGAGTACGATGCCCACATCAAAACCAGCTTGGAAACTGAGAAGCGAAGCAAGGTGGGAAACATTTGGTGCATTGTAATGGAAAATCTTGATGCTGGGGATGAGTGGGAACCAGAATATGGGAGGGGGCAGTCTTCTCATGCCCTAGGGAAAAAAGATTTCTTTGCACAGAGTGTCAACATTATAACTGTCCCCTCCTCAGAGCTTGGATCTGCAGCTGGCTGAACTGTCTCAGCAAATGCAGCAGGCTGAGGAGGCTCTGGTAGCCAAGCAAGAGCACATTGACAAGCTGAAGGAGGATGCTGAACAACACAAAACTGTCATGGAGACTGTGCCTGTGCTCAAGGCCCAGGTGAGTGTGATGTCACTTTGTTAGAAAAGAGACTGGGAAGCCTATGTATTGGTGAGTGGTGCAGCATGAGTAATGGGAGAGCCACTTTGATCTAATAGTTAAGGTACTGGCCTAGGAACCAGGAAATTGCAAGTTCTAATTCTGCCTTAGCCATGAAAGCCAACTGGGTGACCTTGGACCAATTACTCTCTCTCAGCACAACCCACCTCACAGTTGGTTGGGGGGGGTGGTAAAATAGGAGGAAAGGTACATTATGTTTGTCACCTTGAGTTATTTATAAAGTAATAAAGGTGGGATAAAAACCAAATACATAACAATAGCAATAGCATTTAGGCCTACATGCCACTCCACAGTGCTTTACTGGATATTGCTCCAAACAATCTGGACTCTCATTTTACCAACTTGAGCCTATCAAACTCCTGGCAAGTGGGAGTTCTAATCACTGTGCCACCAAATCCTATCTTTTCCATTCAGGCTGATATCTACAAGACAGATTTCCTGGCAGAGCGCCAGGCACGTGAAAAGCTACACGAACAACGAGAGATCCTGCTGGAGCAGGTTGCCCAGTTGCAGAGGGAGAATGAGAAGCTGAAAGCCGACTCTGAAGGAGTCAGCCGGTGAGTAGGTTAGAGGATGGAAAGTAAGAAACCCTTACGCATCTGGAATAGAGCCATTTTTCTACCCCAACTCATGTTTAACTTCTGTGATATTTTGTTGGAGTCTGTAGTCAGAGGGAATACAGCTCACTATTCCTCCACCATTTCCTAGAGAAATCCATTCTGGTGCTCTTTCTTATCTATCTAGGACTCTGATGGAAGAGATGAGAAATCGCCATTCAGAAATGCGTCCGCCTCCTCAGCCGAGTAAGTGTTGGCACTTGATTATTTTGCAACAATCTCCACTAATTTCAGAGGCTAGCATAATTATAAAACAGGGCAAAAAAAAAGGTGCTTTTCAAGCACGTTGACAATGAAGATGCAGCACATGGCCACAATTCTTCCAATCAAATGCAGGATCAGCTAGAGCAGCAGAAGGCGATACAGCCTCAAACTGCTGCTCCTACTCCTGGGAGACATATGCAAGAAAGGATTTAAGGACTATATGACCATTCCTGCAGGAAAATCAACCTGATGGGACTGGAGGATTTAGATGTTTGTTTCTTTCAGCAAAGATGTATGTTTTTCACTTCGCAATGTAGGCAAAGTGACATTTGATTGTAGGAAATAGATGCTCTTAAGAATCAAAGAAAGCCAATCTTTGGGCAGTATATTTGAGCTGTGTATTTCATCTTTTTACTGTTATATGAATTAATTTTATCTCTGAGTTTGAATTTGCCCTACTTTTTCTCTTCAACTTAAAGTCCAAATCTATTATTATACTTTGTAAGGAAATCAAGTTAAATTTCCTGAAAAATTGGGTGTTATTTCAGTAATTTGAGGGCGTATGGCAAATATAAAACTGAAGAGATTCAGACTGGGGTTTACTGCAGACAAATCTTTTGCTGCTACTAGGTTTGCAACAAGAGTTTTGCTTAAGGCAGTTCATTTTTATTTTTTTTTTGCCACTTGCATGAAAATAGTAGCTATCTTGGAGAAACTCTCTTGCCTTCATTGGAAGCAAAAAATAAAATAAAATGGAAAATAGAAGCTTCTGTAGCTAAATTTCAGCAATGTTTTCAGCACTGAAACTTCTTGCTATTTATTTTCTTTCCTTTGCAATCTGATTTCAATCTTCTTGCAATAGCACTGTTTACCTGACTGTCAGTACTCAAGACACTGGTAGCTTCATTTTTAATTCTTTTCCTGATTTATAGCATGTGATTTGCTTTCAATTTTTGCCATAAGACAGTATTTTCATTGAGGTATTATTTTTCTCGTCATTGGCACTTTGGAGCTTGACATATGTGGGAAATGAGATATAATTCACTTCCATATATAGAATTTCACATCTTTGTTCACCAGAGAACCCTCTTTTCTACGTTAAGTGAAGGATGTGTTATGTTCTAATTTGATATCCCCACAGACCTTGTTAGAGTACTGCTAACTTTAATTTCAGAAAATTAGGTCAAGCAGTATGGTGCTCCTGTTCACCCAGTAGGCTCTTGCCTCCTTTAGTATTTAAATACTTTATCTTTTGAAGAGAAGTACTTGCCTCCAAACATCATCTTTATTTCAAATACCTTTGAGCCACACTGGCAATCTTGAGAAAAAAATTGTTGCATGTCTGCTGCCCCAGTTTTTGTGGGCAGCTTTGGAAGTGTGCAGTGCTATCATGAAAGAAACAGAAAAGTAAACTTGGATTGTAGAAAATATTCTGGGGTATTAAAGAGGATGGTAAAAATCCATCCTGGCCAGTTTGCTTTTGGGTGTTTTATGGCCAGCCATGTAGCAATATTATAGTCACATCCATCTTACAAGCTTAAGGTCAACCCAAGAACAATAATAAGGTAATATTTGTGCTCCAAGCAGGTACTTTGGGGAACCATTTGTTTTTCTTAACTAAATATTTAAACCAGTTCTTGCTTGCTGTTACTTAATCATTTACCTAAGATGGGCTATCCGCTTTTCTTTATGTCTATATTTATACTGGATGGAGCCTTTCATGGGATTTCCTCAAGGTCCTCTTATGCTGACTACCAAAATCAGTATAAAACTTAGACACACTCGGAGAGCTTGATAAGCCTGAACAAGGAACAAGTTGTTCCAGACACTCTTATTAGCACAATTTCATTCTACTACACAGATCATAAATCATTTTGCATCAAAAATCACATTAATATGTTGAATGCTGGAATCCGCTGGATTTTCTGTATACTTAGCAATCCATTTTTTATTTCTTAGTGGAAAGTACAATGGCCTGTAATTTCCTGAACCTTTTAAAATTGTTTTCTTCTCTAAAAGTAGTTTTCTTTATATATTGCATGTTAACTGTTGCTAACTGCTTAATATAGTCCAGTGGATTTTTTTTTGTCAGAAAACCTTTTCATAGAAAGGAAAGATAAAAAATACACTTCTCTGTCATTACAGCATGGTATATTGTAGCAATTATATCTTTGGACTGTTTAATCACTGCCTCTATTAATTCAGTGTAGAACTAATATCTGTGTTTTTCTTGTATTTTTACCAGATAATGCTCCTTTTCATAATTCACTAAACACTGCCATCACTGTTAGAGAAGGAGCAATTATACAGTATGCTCAATTTACTAACTTACTCTTCCTTCCCTTTCCAGCTTTCTTGATGGGCACCACCCCATTCCATCCCCAGCTTGTAACAGGGCGAAGACAAAATGTTTTAGAAGAACAGCCTATCCACTATTGTCCCAAATGCCAGTATAAAGCTCCAGACATGGACACCCTACAGATCCATGTCATGGATTGTATCCAGTGACAGTGAAGAAGGAGGGGAAACTCCAGGCTGATGTACATTTGCATTGCTTTAAACAGAACCAGCAGTTCAGCTGCCAATCCTGGAGCAAAAAATGTGGACTGTCTTACTTCCTACTCCCCTATATGTCATTAACTTTCTTCCTCTTATAATAATGGCTGAGCCTACTGCTGACCTTGTCCCAAGCCTGGCTATTATAGCCACGGAGGAAAAGGTCGCACTATTCTAGGTTTGTGTAAAACAATCTTTTCAAGTGCTTTTGATTCAGTGTGCATCAGGGATACCAGGGATTAGGTCATTCCCTCAGAATAATAAGTCACATGTCTATTCAATTCTCTCATTTCATGGGTGATGAAAAAAATCCCTCCTTCCCTATAGACTACTGCTCCTCTTTGTCCCACATCCCAGTAAGTTTTTAAATGCCTTAAACAGTTCAAGTCATGAGGTAATTATTTTATTTATAAAATAAAAGGGATAGAGGGGTGTTTTCTTCTGCTTTCTAAAAGGGCTTCCAAATGAATTTGCTTGAACCAATTCTTAGGCTGAAAAAGTATTGTATGACTCTTTCACCTTAAGTCAATTAAAGCAACAATGAAGATAATCAGTGATTTTCCTACTTACATCAGGTACCTCCCTTCTAGGTCAATAATGTGTTATCACTCCATCCTTTAGAAATCAATTTTTTATTAACTCAATCACCCATAATTTACAACCAAAGCAACAATCCACGAAGCTGAGCTTGAGCAGTACTCCTCTAGGATTCCTCCGCTCCTCCAAGACCTTGTAAGGTTTTCAGGGAGATGCTTCATGAAGAGAAGAGAGACCTCTAAACTCAGCCAAATGGCTTTTTAAATCACCCACCCTTCTTTTGGATCAGCTGCTCAGTCTGACCAAAAGCTGGGAGAGCTCAATAGGCAGAATTATTCCAATAAATAGTTTGAATTACCATATTCTCCATATCCACCATGCTAGCAATTTACCTGCTTGCAGGAGATCACTTCAAAACTAATAATTTCAGATAGCAGGGAGGAATCAGCCATCAACCAATAAAGAGATAAGTTCTGGACAATTTGTGCTGTAGAAACTTAAGACTATACACTGACCCAGGACTTCAGAGTATTGCCCTTTTCAACTGCAGAGCTGACAGTGGGGAGAAATCATTTTCCCTTCTCATGAGGCAACTTCAGGGCTAGCACTAGAATTGTTATCCTGAGGGGAAGCACTGGCTCCCCGTGGGGTGACTTCAATAATACGAGGTTTATCAATGATACGAGCTGTCTGGTTGCCCTTCTCCACAATGCCAATGATCCAGGCTTGGTGTCCTTCTCCATATTTAGGTGACTTTATTTCAGCACAGAAGCGGGCAGCTTGCTCCCGGGGTAGACAAATCAGCAGCCCCCCTTGTAACAGAAAGACAGCAAATTATAATCATTAAAAAATGATAATTTCCCATCCCTCCATAACCACAGATTAACCTAAACTCTTACAATCCACTAAATTAATGCTACACAAGACATAAGATGTCTTGTCTACATAAGACACAGCTTAGTTTTTCCACACAAAAACCGTACCTAATTACTCCAACACTGCTTTGTTTTGTTTTAATTTCAGCAGTTGTGGGAAGACTATGGAAGTAATTTTGTTATATGTTTGGGAATCTGCAATTGTTGTTAATCTACAAGTCATTTAAAGCTGTTCCACAGAATCCAGGTCTACATTTTGCTTATTCCTTGCCTAGTTTATCCAACTTACCAGAAGTCTCTGGAGAAGTCCCTTGGAGGAGCCTGGACCGGTTACCACATGCTTTGCTAATAGCAGCCATCTTGGCAATGATGGGTAGATTATGAATGACAAATGATACCTCGCTACGCTGCTGCTTGGCCAAGTTCTGTGCATGGCCCAGAATCCCAAATCCTGTAATGTCTGTGGCAGCATGGGCATTGAAAGTATGCATCAAACTGGCAGCTGAAGAGAAGGAACAAATGTGGCATAAGTGATAACAAAATAGCAGTTAAGCCTGTAGAAGATAGCTCTTATCTAACTGCTATCTGTCCTATAACTAAAACAGCAAGAATCAATCATTTATTATCTAGTACTGATTTTTAATAGGCACCTGAAGTTGGTGGCAGCAATATTTGCCCAGAAGGATACAGCAATTAATTCACATAATAGGTGGATTTATAGCTGTTATATATTAGGAATAAAAACAATTTTGTACATGTCTAGCTATTCTACCTCTGATAGCATATTAATCTAATTGCAGATCAATTATTTTAATTTTGCCTCTATAAGCCAATGAACTAATTTTACAATTCCAGAAATGTTACCAATCGTGTGGCGAAAACCTTGCGATCATTTCACATAGTTTGTTTAGTTGTTTTACAAGTCAGTACCAATCATGCTCAAAATGTCTTGCCATAGTACATGAAATACTTTAATGTCATGTTTTTAACTGTTTCCCTAAATAGGTTTTTGTAGGGAGATACTTTTGAATGCTATCTGAAAATAAAACCGCTCTTGTACTAGAGGTTGTCTGACCATACTCTTATGCACCCCTTTAAAGAACAGAGGTAAGATGTTTAAATATGTAGAGAGCCAAGGCAACCTGGTGTTGCAAACTGAGTAAAGATCCAAATCAGTATTTAGGTCCCTACCTGTTCTGTTCAGCATGGCCATACTAAACATGGCTTCCTGGTAGGCCAATTCAACATCTTCTTTGGAGACCACCAGCTTAATCTTATTCCACCGTTCTGGCTGGAAGAATAATACAAGCATTTGAAATGGCTCTAAGGTTTCACTCTTCCCTAGCAGAAGAAAAAATATCTGCCAGTTCATCATGACATCAAATCAAAACTCCTTCGCTCTTTGATACAAACAAACTTAGTTGGGATAAAAAATATTTACCACCTTCATGTCCTGTAATTGATAGATTTTGAATGGGAATACAGTATTCTAAAGTCGCCTTGCAATTTGGAGCCTATTCTCAGAAAGTGTTTTGCACTTTTCTGTCTGTATGGGAGTGAGGTTAATTTTCTATTGGTATACATAAACACAGAGAGATATGTCCATTTCCCCATGGATAAATACTTACATTATCTAACCACTGGTGAGCATTTACAGCCACTTGAGTCCCCAGAGGCTTGGTAAGCACAAGGACATCTCCTGGAACTGCACTGTCTGGCCTAGAATCAAAGGAATAAGAATCTAACTTTTTTTTTTTAAAAAAAAAGTCTTGCCTTATTATTTTCTGTCTTAATCTACAACCTGCAAATCTTAATATTTTACACTAAATCAAAACAATACAAGTTCAAAAGAAAAAAAATACAGTAGTCCTCACTGACAATAATTGGGATTGGGAACTTCACTAAGTAACATGGTTATAAGGCATGGCATCACGTCTCCCTGGACTTGACAGCTCTGTTTACTTGCATTTCTGTTCAGCATGGCCATACCCACAGTAATAACAAGAATGCACAACAGCATTCTACAGATTTAGCTTTGGGAATAAAAAAATAGGATTTTAAATTGCTCTCGTAACTAGCCTCCACAGTTGGTGCTTTAAAAATCCCCAACTTTAGAAAATCCTATAAGAGATATTCCCAGAATTGATCAAGCATCTTCATTTCTTTAGGAGTAACCAAAGGTCATCCAACAAACAGAATAAAAGTATCCTAATCACCTTTCTGTATCAACAGATTAGAAATCAGTTGTAACATATTCTAGTGAGCCAAACTGCAGATGGGTGCAAATAATTTGTAAAACATTCCTGGATGACTCTGAGAAAACTGGGTTTAACTGTTTTGGCCTGGAATGGTATATAAACCGATCCATTTGTATCAACATGCATGGATTTGTTTAATGCAATGTATGAATCCAGATACTGTTGACAAAATAATCCGTGCCACCTTCAACATCACATAATAGGCTTATCATTGTTTGCTTGCTGTGTGTTATCAGAATAACTGCTAGTCTTTTTCTACTTGAATTCTAACCATCTCTCAGCCTGCTGAAGATCCTTATGACACCCATTTTTAGAACCTTCCATATTAAATCTAAAAGCATCTTCAACAGATGAGGCAGAGTGATAACTAGGCAAATGCACTTTACATCAGTACAATCTCAACATAAGATATAAACCCCCTGAATTAGCATTCTCAAAGTTTAAGCTGATTTAAAATACTTAGAATATTGATTCTAAATTGTATACAGGTAGTCCTCGCTTACCAACTGTCTTGTCTAACAACTGTTTGAAATTACGACAGCTGAAAAAAAATCCCAGTTTGCAATCAATCCTTTTATATTATTCATGTTGTCTTGTATAGACTGCACCAGTAGAGTCCAGTAGCTAAAGCACCAGTAGCTAAACCAATTTCGTTGTATACATGATGTACAATGACAATAAAGACTTTGAATTTTGAACTTTGAACATTTATGACCTCACAATATTTTGTAGTCACATGACTGCCATTCAGATACTTGCAACTGAAGCATATTTATAATCATTGCAATAGCCCATGGTCATGTGATTACCATTTACATGCTTCATATAACTGCCTTCCAACAAGTAGAATCTATGGAGAACACTGAAGTGAAATCACAAGTTGCTGTCATATGATGGCTTGGTTAATGATGGAAGCTGAAGTGAGCTTGTAAATCCAGTGAGGTCACATAATATTTCACTTGGTGACTTCATAGCTTTGCAATGGAGTTGCTGGTTCCAGTTGTGGTTATTAAGCAGACTATCTGTAGTCTGAAGAACATTCTGCCTTTTCCCTAGATCTGAGATTTGGAAAAAAATGCATTTCTGTTTACATCCAGAATATTCCAAATCACTTTCATTTTGGAATATGTATCTGGAAATGGATGACACCGTCTCCCTTATTACCTTATTCCATTGGAGAAATGAAACTTCCAAGAAATACTGGAGGATTCTGAAAATAAGCATGCTGTTTTTTGCATCTCTAATTCTAATTCATGTATCAAGTAAAAATTTGCAGGAATTTGAGAGGGGATGGATATTACAAATAATTCAGAAGGAACTTCCCATTCTGATAAATCTTGTTAACTTCAGTATTACTACATAAAGTCCATGCATTGATTCACTGGAGTCTCATTTTGTTACATGATTTGGTGTCCCACACAACAGCACAACTATTAATATAGTTTAGCTTCAAACATAATATTTACTTGCTTTGAATTCTATTCAACTTTATCTAATTCTTCTTTTAAAATAATTCTGTAACTTAAATTTATTAAACTACATAAAAAGATACAGTTCAATTTACTAATCACTTTTATAAAGTTTTGGACTGTTAGTAACAAGCATTCTCATAGCAATTATGCAACATGTTGGCCTGATCTATACACATATCTGAAATGCTGTACCCTATTTTTTCAAATTCTTACTTGCTAATAAGAGTTCAATACTCACATAATAAATTCATTGGGCTGACAAACAACTGTTGCAACCCCGCCAACAATAATCCAAGGATTCAAAACAGTCTGCCCACCAGTTACTGAAGTGCCACCATCCTCTGCTGCATCCCGGAAACCCTTGATTATCAGAGGCATTATTTTTTCCCGCTCCTAGAGACAAATGAAAAAAAGGATTTAAGAACCATTTGTAACCATCAGACAAGGATCAACTGCTACTGGATCCAATTAAGTGGGGTGCAAGGATTGAATATGGAATCTTCTGCACTGAAATTATAATGGGAATTTTTTTTTTACTATTTGTAACTTATGTTGGTAGATGTAAGCTGTTAAAAACCTGTGGGAACTAAGCAGCAGAGGTCATAGTAAATAAAAAAATCAACTAAGACAGAGTTTTGGTTAATTATGCTATTGTAGGTGAATGAAATTGTCTATTCACTGAAGCTTATTTAAACAAATGATGACTTAGTATATTATGAAACAAAACTACTTGTAATTATAGATTAATATGCCTAATTATTAAATTAAACATTACTGTCTGAATTGTGAATGATGAAAGTAATTAATGAGTTTTAAAAACTGTTTAATTCCATCTTTTGATTCAAAAAAATTCAATGTGTAGGAACATAACTCAGTGCTACCCTAACCCTAGAAACAATAAATTGGGGACAGGCTAACACTCAATGTTTCCTTTATTCATTCAAGGGGCTAGACTTCTGGTTTGCACATTTTAAGACAAAAATCACTGAACCGTATTACAACTTGAGTTGTTGCATTGAATCCAATCAGCATATTAAAAAACCATATTCAAATTATTTTAAGAAATAAAATGTTTCTCACCTCCTCAGTCATTTTCTGGCTCACACTCAGGAGCATAAGCATGTTGTCACATTCTGTGATGCCCAGGGCATAAAGGTCACTCAGCACATTAGCACAAGCAATGCGGCCCTAAATCAAAATAATGAAAGGACTAGAACAGAGCAAGAAGGGCAAGGCAACTAGTATAATCAACTGAGGAGGATACCTAACTTCAATCACATAGCTCAATCCTTTCTAAATTGACCAATACTTCCTCCATCTTCTCACCAGCATGCCAACTCACCATCATATAAGGATCTTCTACAAGGGGGTAAAAAAAGTCTGTAGTCTGCACCAGGGATAGACCCCCATGCCTCAAAGGAATCACACAGGAGTCCATTCCAATGCCTGTAGAGAAGAGGGATCACAGCGTTCTTGAACGTTTAGAATTATTTCCAATTCAAGCAATTACTTGGAAGTTGATAGTCTGTATCTTCATTCCCAGTACATATGCAATAAAATAGGGAATGTGATGAGGCAGTGTCTAGGTTACAGAATGGACAAGCAGCAAAAGGGGTTAACATTTCACAGTCGAGAGCCATATGCCCCATGTTAAGAGTGAATTTTGTTACCTCCTGTAGGCTAAAGTTAAAAACAACACCAAAGTCCAACGGCAAATCATTTCTGCAAGACTGAATTGTCCACTAAGTGTCCAGGACTTCGGACAAAGTTCAAATGAAGGGAGATTTTTATTTAACAGAAAGTGGCATATTCCCCACGTGTTTATGTGGATTATGTGGATTATTATTATGTGGATTATTAAGATTATGTGGGGAGCGGAAAAACCAAAATCGAGAGTATATGCTGTTTATTTAAAATCACTTCCAGAGTTTATGTGAAATAAAAAAAAAAGTTTTAAACAGCGCACCCATTCGATCTGCAGCCCAGACGTCACCCACGGCACAGGATCGCCCCCTCCTAACCCGCTTTTCGAGTTTTTGTACCACCCCTCATTCCACCGTTCACTACTAGCGCTCCCATCAGTTTTGAAACCTCCCCGCGTGGTAGCACCTAAAAGGCCGCGTTCGGCGCTTTCCCCGCCAAGCCTTACCGAGGGTGGGAGGAGGACTCCCGGCAGCCCCCGTGTCCCCGGCCCCGGCCAACCCAGCATGGGAAGTGCTAAGTCCCTCCAGGAGTCTGAGCAGCGTCTCCTGGGGGACTTTGCAGCCTCATCCGCGCAGCTCCCCGTAGCTAGTGAGCCTCCAGCCCGGGCTCAGACCCAGCGCCTCAGGCTCAAACGGCCGATAACCGGGCGGCCCGGGCGGCAGAGCGGCGGGACTTGGAGCGGTGGCTGTCGCCAACGAAGGGAGCGTGGCAGACGGAGAACCGGCCACCGCCGCCATGATGGCTCCACAGCAGAAGCTTCTTTCCCCGCGAGAACTGGGGCAGGAAAGGGAAAAAAAAAAAAAAACCGTTCGCCAAGCTACGCTCGGGCAGGGCGGGGGTTGTCCCCAACCTAAGGGCGGGGGAAGAGCTGGCACGCATTCCGCCTTCACCCGCCCGCGGGTTGTTCTCTAGCCGAGGAAAAATCTCGCGAGACGTCGAGGGAGGGCGCTTTCCGAGGTTCACGTTTAAACTGTAACCAGGGGCAGCGTGAATGGGGGCGTTCCAAGACAATGAACTAAATTTTTTCCCTCTTTTTTTCCCCCCTCTCCCTTAATCTAGAGCGCAATTATCGCGATATGAATTTACCAAGGGTAATAGGTACCTGTGGAATATCATTTGGCGTAAAAACGTGAGACGGAGATTTCTACTCCTGTACAGGAATGTTAATGACACAATTCGTCTTGTTTTCTTTGCACGGGGCAGAAGTAGCTTGCCACTATAGTTTTCTGAGATGCGATTGTAATTTTGAAGTCTGGTCCACAGGCTTTGCTGATGGTTTCTCATCTATGTACTAACCAGACTGTATCCTGTATAGCTTTTCAGGCTTGACAAACTATTATCCCACATCCATAAGTTTCATTATAGTCACCTTGTAAGAGTTCCAGGCAGGGCTATTAGCGTACAGCCAAAAAGTATTTTCAGTCAAATATTTGTCACTATTAATCACGTTTATACTAGATCAAGAATCCTTCAGAATTATGATTGGTTACTGACTCCAAAATGTCTCTGAATTTCAATTTCAAAAAGATGAAATTCAAATATCAGTTTGTTCAAAACCATACCTCGATGCTGTGATTGCACTATTTAAAGATTCTTTTTGGTATATCTCAAACCCTAAGCATAACCTAATCTTTACAAGGTGGTCCATACAAGAAGCACACCCCAAAATACTAGCACTAACTTTATTGCAAGGTTTATATTAACAGAAACTTGCAAGGCTGAACGATTGCAAGCCTGCAAACCCTTTACAGCCCAAAGGTTTACATTAACAGAAGCTTGCAAGCCTGAAAGTATATTTCTGCCCCATTACTTTTTCAGCCCTTGAAACTAGGGAAGGTCCCTTCAGAGAGGTTTGGCCTGCCCGCATTCTTTCTGTGAGCTAAGCTGCTGCTTATCCAACCACAGAACTATTTATGATAAAAGCAATGTATGCATGGGAATAAATGGAATGCAAATTTCAATAAGCAGAGAGTAAGACAAGGATGACTGATGTCCCCTTGAATATATTATTCAATATAATAATATATATTATGTCCCCTTGAATATATTAAATATGTTATGTAATATATTTATGGAGAAATATATAAGGAATGTTTGTTATACATAAAAAATCCTTCTAGATCAGATTATGGCCCTCTTAATCCATCAAAAATGCAAGATAGTTTGACAGACAAAAGGAAGTGAATTATTGGGAGTTGTACTGAGAATGGAGATGAATTTAGCTATCTTATTAGAATAGTTACTAAAAATGGAGAAATGCAAGAGGAAAAATTTAAATATGCAAATTCTGGTAAAGTATATGGTCTAAAACAGGGGTCGCCAACCTTTTGGAACTCAGGGACTATTAATATTATTTTTTAAAAAAGCTAAATAGTATTTAGTACAATATAAAAAGTGCAAATAATTAAGGGAGAATGGAGGTTTTTAAAAAATCAGGAAGAGATAAAGTGATTCTGGGTATTAAATCCTGAGAATTAAGAAACAAGGAATTAAATACTATACACAGTCCTGCAGGATGCTAAAGAAAGAGAGAGTTAGAATTACCAAATACGATATTGTACTTTGCAGATTGTTGCATAGTTTAGATGAAAGAATGGGTGAAATAGGAGGTTATTGAAATTGGAAGATCATGATTTAAGATTGGGATAGCATGATTATTTGTGGTACAACAAAGTTAAAGTGAATGTAGATTTTAAAAATCATTTTATTAGATGCGCCATATTGAGAATTTGGAATAGGTTTAAGGCAAAATTATCTCTTAAAATCCCTTTGTGGTTGTCCACCTTTTAAAAAGAGAAATGATGGTTAAACAAAAATGGTTTATCCATGCTGATTTGCTGAAAATTCTCAAGAAGAATTTAATTGAAAAAGGACCCAGATTGTGGGGGCAGATTGTGAGGATCCAGACTGTGGGGGCAATAAGCTGACTTTGTATAAATATACAAAAGTATGAAGGCTATTGCTTAACACATTGTAAGCCGCCCTGAGTCTCCAGAGAAGGGCAGCATATAAATTAAAGCAAAAAACAAACAAACAAAAAAACCTTGGAGCTTGAAGGTTTTACATGGAATTGGTTTCCCTATGCTGAGCTAATGAAAGTATTTAAATTGAATGAGAAGGCTTATGAATTTGAAAGCGGTAAAACTGAATTTGCTGTAGAGCTCTGTACAAATGATCATATTATTGGTAAATTGTACAAACCTTTATTGAAAACGGAAACAGAAGACAAAACAGTAAAGATTGTATGATAAAATGAGCAAAACATTTTTGGATATAATAAACAGTTGAATCACTAGGAGAGTATGTGGAAGAAAGGGTTGAAATTTACATAGAATTATAATCTTAACGAGAATTTTCATAAAATGAGGTAACATTGGTACAGGTAGTCCTCGACTTACAACAATTCATTTAGTGACCCTCCAAAGTTACAACAGCACTGAAATAAATGACAATGACCATTTTTCACACAACTGTTGCAGCATCACTGTGGTCACATGATCAAAAGTCAGATGCTTGACAACTGAATTATATTTATGACGGTTACAGTGACCTGGGGTCATGTGATCAATGTTTGTACTTTCTGATCAGCAAAGTCAATGGAGAAGCCAGATTCACTTAAAAATGTGTTACTAATTTAACAACTGCAGTGATTCCCTGAACAATCATGGCAAGAAAGGTCGTAAAATAGAGCAAAACTCTATGTCTGATTTAGTCACAGAAATTTTGGGCTCAATTGAGGTTGCAAGCCAAAGGCTACCTGTACTTTCTCAAATGTCCTACTGAAGTCTAAGTATACTATGTTCACAGAAAATCGCCATAGAAAGGCGATTGTACCGAAACACGGATCGTTACCTTCGCACGTCAAAACACACTCACACGCACGGAGATCCGCTCTCCCGAGTCAACGGGACAAACGCCAATCCAACTTTCTAAAGTTTCAGAAGAGCCAGGTGGAGACGGAACACCTGCTGAATGCCGGTTCGCTAGCAATCCCCCCATGCCTTGAGATGAAATTGCAAATGGCAAGCAAATAAATGGCAAAGCTGTTTTTTGGGGAGGAGGGGAGGTTTCCGAATGAAAAGTGACTTTCCGAACCGCGTCTCTAGACGAGCCATCGCTATGGCGAATTTTCTCGCCGGAAAGAAAAAGGAAGTCCGGTTAAACTAAACATCCGGGCGGACCCCTTGTTTTGAGCGGATTGAAACTGAAAGCAGCGGCAGTCTGGCTTGAGCTGGCTGGACTTGGCCTGGAGGGCTTCCTGTGCCGCCCTCCGTTGCCCAAGTGGGACGGAGCACCGACCTCAAGCTGGAGAAGGAACTGGCCCTCGCCTTCAGCACCATGTACCGGAGGGAGAGGCAGGATGAGGTGGAGGTAGGCGCTACTCTTCACGGTAGCGAGAGGGCAAAATTATTTTAAAGAAAGGGTCTGGAGGAATTTGCAGTATTTGGTCGATGCCTGCGAAGGAGTTTCCTCCGAGTCGGTGGTCCCCCCCGTAGGCAGGAGATTGCAACACCCTTCATCTTTGATCAGCATCAGATCGGGGGGGGTGGGGGTTTGTGTGAATCGTTTTCCTGTCCGATTTAGAGTATGACATGTCTGAGGAAGGCTATTTCTGTGTAATACAGTAACTCTCACCGAGAAAATACTCACCTGCAAATCCCCGGAGGAACACGAGGGGGCAATAAAGAGGGAACCCATGGATCATTCGGATTTCTGCAGCTACAGTTCTAGGGACAGGTGATTTTGATGGCGATTTTAATAAAAGTCATCAGTATCAAATCAACAGGCCTTATGATTGAGTATCCTGTTTCCAAAAAAAATGATAACCAGAACTCTCCTGTTGTGTCCTATCTATAGTATTTGATATTTAGTGTTAAACCATCTTTATCTGTCTGAGAAATTGATTACCCTATTATTCTGTTATAATTTCCTTGTTGGTTGCTTACCCCATTTCTACCTATCATTAACTAACTTTCCTTCTGCTCCATGGGCCCCGCACTAAAGTTCCAATATTGGGCCGTATTGAAGAAAAAAATATTGATAAAGATAGTAAAATATTAAAGCAGAAGAGAAGCCATCAGAGAAGAGCAGCAGGACAAAGAAAGAAAGAGCAATAGGAATAGGACATTCAGGAAGTAGTGAATATTGTACATTGCACTGTGCAAGAGGATTTACACAAAGAATTTTTGTTTTATTTACTCAAGCTGTCATCCTTTGAAATCTGTTTGCCCAACCAAGGACAAGGAAAAGAAAAGACCAAATATAACATTTTAATAGAAGACAAACAGAAAAGAGAACTACAATTGCATCAGAGGAATAGTCTGATTTTACTAGTTTTATTGTTGCTGCCAGAGTGCGGACAGGAAATAACAGAGTATAGAATTTTATATGTGAGTAGATAGTCCAAGTTCCCACCCAAAATATTTGTAGCCACAGACTGTCAATTATTGCAGAATTTCTGACTCTACCAGTATAGATGCCTGAATATGCATAGAATTAAATTAAAATTTTATAATTTATAACAATAATTTAATGATATATATGGATATCTTTTAAGGTAGAATAGACAGGCTTAAAAGTCAGTTTGAAAAGATATGAAAAAAAAATCAATAAATAAAATTTTAATTCTTTTTCCATAACAACCAAACATATCACTCTTTTCCTATAGCTACTCAATAACTTTTATTTAATCATTTCTGAACTCAGGCTTCATTTTTCTAAAATGTTTAACATGGCTTGGAGAGAATTTTGCTAGCCAGGGGCAATTGCTTTAATTAAAGAAGTTTGTGAAAAACATGAAATTCAAAGTGTCCCTTTCTGATCCATATCTAAGAGGTCTGCTTCAATCATTTTG